TATATATATATATATATATATATATATATATATATATATATATATATATATATATATATATATATATATATATATATATATATATATATATATTATATATATATATATGTATATACATATATATATACATATATATATATATATATATATATATATATATATATATATATATATATATATATATATATATATATATATATATATATATATATATATATATATATATATATATATCAGGGCCTATTCTAGACCGTTTTCGACAGCATCAACCGTATTTGGGTGCCGCCCAAATTAAAATTTAAGGATCTTTTTTTTTATAGGGCAAATATTGTTTTTTTTTTTTTTTTTTGCAAAAACACTGATTTATATATATATATATATATATATATATATATATATATATATATATATATATATATATATATATATATATATATATATATATATATACATATATATATATGCATATATATGTATATATATATATATTTATATATTTGTATATATTTTTAAAAATATATATATATATATTTATAAATATATATATATATATATATATATATTTATATATATATTTATAAATATATATATATATTTATAAATATATATATATATATATATATATATATATATATATATATATATATATATATATATATATATATATATATATATATATATATATATATATATATATATATATATATATATATATATATATATATATATATATATATATATATATATATATTATAAATAAATCAGCGTTTTTGCAAAAAAAAAAAAAAAAATATTTGCCCTATAAAAAAAAAAAGATCCTTAAATTTTATTTTGGGCGGCACCCAAATACGGTTGATGCTGTCGAAAACGGTTTAGAATAGGCCCTGATATATATATATATATATATATCATATATTTATATATATATATATATATATATATATATATATATATATATATATATATATATATATATATATATATATATATATATATATATCATAGACTAAGTTATCACAAAATGATAAAATTTTCTGCTCGAGTTTTTTTTTTTAAATATTTTTTGTTTGTGTGGCAAGGGCATCTAAAGAAGATTATCCAAACTCTTTATTTTTCAACTCCATGCACTACTTTAATAAAAATTTTTGCCAAATTTTCTATAAATTTATTAAATTGCATATTTAGTAAATTTTAAAAAACTTAAATGTTTAATAAATTTACAAATTGTTTAATAAATTACTATGTAAAGTATATTCAGGAATCTGATATATTGTGACAATAAAAAAATATATAATGTACAACATTGTATAAATTGTATAAAATTCTCCACCTAACCATTAGTTTTTTCTCCACTACCAAATTATTATTCTTTTATTATAAAATTGTTTTGGTGTTTAGGTACAGTCTAATGAGCAAAGACATAGATGGTTTAAAGCCATTAATGAATCAGCTGCAAAGTCTAACAAAATAGATAGCCAAAGCAATGAATTGACACATCAAAATCTATCATTTATACAATCTAACCCAACAGTTGATACAAATTTATATGTAACAGATGAAAAAAACGTTGAATCTAATGAAACTAATGAAGCTAATGTTGAATCTAAAGTTTCTGCGCCAATACAAGTTAATAGTTCAGTGAACTCAAAGCCATTAAATATAATAAATGTTTTGCCATATAATGAAGAAACAAATAATATAAATACAAATAATGCATCATGCAATACTATTGAAGAAAATGTTATTCCAAATAACACAATGCTTAATAATTTATCAAATAAAAACAATCGTAAGTTTCTTTTTTTTTTTTACAAAAAAGATAATAATCAAACTAGTTTCTAGTAAATTTTCTGTGTATGTAATAATCAAATTAGTTTCTAGTAAATTTTTAGAGTATGTAATAATCAAATTAGTTTCTAGTAAATTTTTAGAGTATGTAATAATCAAATTAGTTTCTAGTAAATTTTTAGAGTATATAATAGTCAAATTAGTTTCTAGTAAATTTTTAGAGTATGTAATAATCAAATTAGTTTCTAGTAAATTTTTAGAGTATATAATAATCAATCTAGTTTCTAGTAAATTTTCTATGTATAATAGTGGTGCTAAAAACAATCTTTTTGAAAATGTCTGCTGACACCCCCTAAATGTGTTCTATATAATAAAATAGTTTTGGGTTTGAAAAATTTTTGAATAAAAAATATTTTTAGAGGTGTCTCAAGACTCTTAAACATCATCTAAGTCTCTAATATTATCAAGAAAATTTCAAAATTATCAATCATTTTATAATTAAATTATTATTTTAGATTTTAATGAACAGAAAATAACGTTTTTTTTAACTAAAAATGAAAAATAGGATATTTAACAAGACTTTTCTATTATAAATGTTTTTATCAATGTTTTTTATAAAAAGATTCATATTTTTGAAGTTTTTATATAATTTTGCTTTATTTGAGACCCAACATGACATACTTTTAAGAAACTTTTTTTTTTTGATAATATTAGGGACCTGGTTGGTGTTTAAGGGTCTTTTGGCACCCCTAACAATATTTTTTATTTAAAAATTTTTTAAATACAATACTATTTTATTATATAGAACACATTTAGGGGGTGTCAGCAGACATTTTCAAAAAAAAACTTGTTTTTAGCATCACCCTAATGTATAATATCCTTAACAAAAAAAGATCATAATAATCAAGTTTCTATTTCTATATTATTAGTCCAAAAGTATATTACTTAGATTTTTTTAAAATTATCTTTTGATTTTCAATTTTTTTAACAACTTTTAACAATTTTTTTTTACTGAGGAATAAATCTTTCATTAAATTTGTATTAATTTTGTTTATATTAAATTTGTTTGAATATTATCTGTGGGTTTTGAACTAACTTTTTATCTTTCTTATAACTAATTGTTAACATATTTTCTTACTTCTAGCTAGCAACAAATTTGAGGTTGTTAATTTCATTGCTCCTGTCGATCAAATATATATGCATAACATTTTTATTGCCAATGAATATTTTTGCTGAGGTGTGTTTATATTAAAATTTATTATTAATTATAATTTACTACTTAACTTAATAACACAAATAAAAAGGTATGCAGATACTAAACAGATAATAAACAGGTAAGCATAATCATAATAAGGTCTAGCATTAGAGTTATGTGAGCAAGGAGCAAAAATTACCAACAAACATATTTTTAGTTCAATACTGATCCAAAAATGAATAATAAAATATAAATATAAAAAATGAAGCATTATTTTTTTCAAAATCTTGTAGGCCTTGTGAATCTTGTAGGCCTTACTGAAGTTTTGTGTTTTGTTTTACTATTTATTTAAGTTTTTAAAACGTTTAAAAACTAACAGTGTAACTGGGCTCTGTGATAATACAACTTTACAAATTGACATCATTTGTGACATCATAATTTCATGACATTATTGTGTTCATAATTTCTGCATCTGTATACAACAATCCTGATAAAAAGTTTTTATTTAAACAATTATGGCTTCTTCTGACTGTTCCTGTCACAGTGGCTTTTGGAGAAAGAAATTTTTCAGTGCTAACATTTTTCAAAATCTACATGTAATCATCGATGCATCATAAGCAAATACAATTACTTTGATCATTTGAGATCAATTAAGAGCTAACTGTAAATAGAATAAGACAAACTTCTTGCTAATTTTACTAAAGCAAAATATATTTGTGAGAACAATTTGTTTAATTTCAAAATTTATTTAATTAAAGAATATTTTAATTTTTCGATTCTTTAACAAAATAAATGCAACTTTCTGTTTTGGTTATTTCTGTGTATTTCTGAATAGTATACTAGTAGGGCTTAATCATTCTAATTGTTGTTCCACTAGTTGTTCTAATTGGGCCCTGATCATCACTTGCTACCTTGGGCTATATATTCTCTAATGTTAGATATAATCGCAATATTATCATAGCATAATTATTTATTTGCAATTTATTTACCGAACATATTTCAATATTAACATAATGTTTTAAGATTCAATTTTTTTTAAATTTAATTTAATTTTTAATATATAAAGAATTTCTGAAGTATACAGTGTGCAAAAGTTGAGCAATTTTAATAAAATATCGCTAATTAGCGATAATTTTTATATATTAATATATAAAAATTAAAGTTAATTTTCAAATATTTATTTTATTTTTTGTATTACTTGTAACTAGTGATAAATTTGATAAAATAGTCATGTAACAATGTTGATATTAATGTTGACAACCATGATAAAATAACCAATGTTAAAATAACAATGTTTTATGATTGTAGACTTAGATATAATTTAAAAAAAATTGATAAATACAGTAATCCTCAGGTAAGTGAAGGTTAATCATTGAGCTTAAGCAGATTCACTTATCTAATAAATCTATTACTACCCTGTTAGAAGTATTCTAATAAACTATATATTGATTTTTTTCAAAAAGAAAAAATTAATTAGTAACATTAAGCTGAAACCAAAGTCTAGAAGACTGTTGAAAGTGCACTCCACCATACACAAAAAAGAATGGGAAGAGCAGTAAAACCAAATCCATTTTAGTCATCACAGATGTTGCAACAAAGTGTTTTGCACAATTTTTCCAGGTCTTTAAGTCATGCATTAAATAAAAATCTTGATTTACTAGCTGTCAAACCTTTTAAAAATGGGGGTGCACCCTGCCATTCTGCTAAACGTGTTATGGCATGGTTGCTGAGCATTAGTATCAAAAAATTTGTGTGTCCTCCGAATTTCCCAGATTTAGCTTCTAATACAAATCTGTGGCACATAGTGAAAACCAGAGTTGCCATTGCAAGAGCAATAACAGTTGTTGCACTTAAAGATGCAGTTAGGCATGTCTGGTTGCAAGAGATAACTTGTAAAATTGTAGCAAAATTTGTGCAATTCAGTGCCAAAGAGAGTCTCAAATTTCTTCAAATTAAATGGTTACCTATCAAAATATTCACAATTGTCATCTTTATTGATATATATTACTTGAGTTTCAACTGTATATAGTTAATCAACCATAGATTAAAGTTACATATGGAATAGTTGATTATTACTCATTTTATTTAAGATAAAATAAAATAAAATTGCTAAACTTTTGCACTTTATATATATATATATATATATATATATATATATATATATATATATATATATATATATATATATATATATATATATATATATATATATATATATATATATATATATATATATATATATATATATACCTTAAGATGCCTTCACAATTACAATGTTTCATGGTGCTCTATGTATCATGGTGCCCCACTATCACCTAACCAAAATTTAACATTACTAATGAATACCATTCTTTGTATTTTAAAATAGGTCAGAATTAAATGAGAGTAAATTGGAGATTGCCAGTTTTATTATTTTTAAAATTATAGACAAACATATACAAGTTTTTGTGCGTGATATTTAGGAAATGCCTTATCGTTGTTTCCCATAAGGTTGGGAACCTTATGGGAAACAACGTTAACATTAACATAAGGTTAACATAAAGTTCCCAACCTTGATATATTAAAAGTTTTATTATGATTGAATTGCTTATTGAGTCTCTTTAATAGGTGCAAAGGTCATTTTTTGGCCCTGAAGAACTGAGAACTGAAGAACTGAGGAGAGCATTGCTATTATGCAAATTAGTTTTTTTTTTTATTATTATTATTTTTTTATGTATTACCTAGTAGAGGTAAATATAAACACAATATTTAGCCTAATTTTCGTACATCATATTATCTTTGGCCCATATATCATATTTTATGTTTTTTCAATTATATCTTATATACACACATTTATACATATGCATACGTACACATAGGTGGAAAATGCACTATGCAAAAAATGCATAGTGCATTTGGTTTTTATGAATAATTACTTTTAAGGTGGTAGACCACTACTAAAAATCAAAAAAATCATTTTTTCAATTATAATTTTTTTAAGTAATACAGCTATCGTAAATTACGAATTTCAAGTTGGTTTAATGAAAAAAAATAGCTAACACCATTAAAAGCTATTTTTTAATAAAGCGGTATAAGTAATTTTTTTTATTTATCCATAGCTTTGTTTATTCCGTTGCTATACAACTAAAAAGGAAATTCCATCATAATTATAGTATATATTTTTAATATAAAATACCAGATGTGGTAATTGCAACTCTAAAACTACTTTTTGTTTATTGATTAATACTTTTGGTGCATTTGGCTACATGAGTTTAATTGAAATTTCCAACTATACTTGCTGTTTTCTGTATCACTCTACATTTTCGATTAAATAATATTAGTAATGGAAAGTAAGGAAATAGAAAAAAGAAAAAAGAAGTAAAACAAGGCATAGTAAAATACTTATTTAAACTTTTTAAAGAAAACCAAAATCAATCAACAAACAATGCAGCTGAAGAAATTGTATCAAATTTGCATGAACTAAAATTTGAATGTAGCATAGCAAAAAAAATTTTAAATGGACATGTGTACATCCAGATCAAGCAGTAAATAATCTGTAAAACTTTTAAATAATAGTTTTGTAAATAAAAATAATAGTTCTGCTAATTTTCGATCAGTTCAATGTTACAAATGACTGTGACATATTTATGAACACCAACATTATGGAATAATGGCTGCCATTATTTTGTATCAAAAACTTCCTAAAATTTAACTTTTAAATTATACATTTTTATGATGCTCAAAACAATATGGCTTATAAAACTGTCTCCTAATTTTATTCAGAAGTTTTATTCTATCAAAATTATAAACAAACCAGCAGCAATGAATTTTTAATGTTTATTTATGTACAATATTAGTTTTTTGAGAAATGGCTAAAGAATACTGTAGTTTTGAAAAATTTTGTGGTTTTATGAACATGTTTGATTCCATAAAAAAATTTTTTAACTAGTAAACAAAGAAATTGTAACAGTTACATAGCTGAAGCTAGCATGAATGCCGCAGCGAAGAAGCTCTGAAAATTTATTTTCAATATATTAAGTTTATATTCTGAAAATAAAACTATAATAAGAATACAGTAGTTAATGAATATATTTCTTATGGTGCATAATAGTTTTAGTTTATACATATATATATTTTTATCTTTTTACATATTTAGTTTATATATATACTTGATATTTATTTACTAGTAATAACTATTGGCATAAAACTGATAGGAGTTTTTATTTGAAACTAAATTACAAATCTAAAGTAAGACTTTTTTTTTAATGAAATCTAACTTTTAAAATTATTAATGCCTGTTAATAAAACCTGTCTTTTAAAACAATTTTTTAATAATTTTCTCTACTTTTACTCCACAACACTTTTAATATAAGTTGATATCTCTCAATAGGCTTTTTACGGGGGTTTTTATTATTTGTTTGAAAAATTTTAAGCTTTTTTTTTGTTTAAATGTGTTTTTCTCAGATCTCTAAAATTCACGACTTTGCGGTGAATATCTCAAGATTTTCTAAATCAATTTCCATGAAATTTTTAGAAGTTGTTCCTTTTGTTGTTATGGATGTCCCCTACCACATTTATGACAATACGATAATTTAATTCAAAGATATTAAATCCCAAATATGGTCAAAAATGCCTTATTTTTTGATCGTCAAGTGTTTTTCTTATAAAAAAAAAATCTGTTTAGTAAATTTTCTTGATTTTGGTACAGAATCTTTTTTATTGTATTAAAAGTAAATTTAGAAAATTTCAAGTTAATAGCTTCAATAGTTTTTGAGATAATCACCGCAACGAAATGATGATATTTTTAGGTTTCTGGCACCAAAATTCTGAAATTAAAAAAATTTTTGACTTTTTTTTTTTAATTTTGTCATTCAAGAGTAAATTTTAGTCAATTTAAATGTAAATAATATCTAAAATGTAATTTTTGAAGGATTTGATTTAATTAGTGGTCTACCACCTTAAGATTTTGCAAATAAATTTATTTGTAAATATTTCTATTTCATTTTGTGAAAAGTTATGTTATATTTATTTCTTTAATTTACGATTTTTAAAATTTTTTATAAAATTTAGTTTTATAAAAGTTACATCGTAATTAATAACCATAAAAAAATAATTAATAGCCATCAAAAAAGGTGCTTACTCAAGATAAAGAATGTATTTTTATAGCATAGGTATCAAAAAAAAGGTGAAAAAAGGTTCCTTCTCAGAATGAGGTATTTTTTAAAGAAAAAGTTGTGGAAAATTTTTCAGGTTATAAACTTTTTAAAATTTTTAGTTATTAAGGTGCTCCCAGAAGTCCTTAATCGCAGAGCACCCGCGGTTTTATCGCAAAGCACCCACGGAATAAGATTTAACTAAGAAGTTCATGCCTCCTTCCTTACCCCTTTCATTTTATTGGACTAGAGACAGTGTCAAATCGTGAACCATTAATTCCTGATCCATAACTCTAACCGCTGCACCACATTTTCTATTTATATTTAAAAAACTTAAATCTAAAATAGTTTTAAAATTTTAGGTATTTATACTGGTTTCATTTCAAAATTCATTCGAGTAACTTTATACTGGTTTCATTTCAAAATTCATTCGAGTATCTGTCTTTCACAGATTGATTCCTGTGTAATAAGGTTTGAGGTTGAAATTCATCCTACACTTTTCAAATTACCGCTCTCAACCTGTTTAGCAAGGTTTATGATTCCAAGTTTAAAGAGAGAAATTTCTAATAGTATAAAAACAACTCCATCTTGACCTGCATTACCCAAAGATGAGTCTTGAGCTTAAGTTAAATTCTATTGATGAAATGAAAAATCAATCATATATATAAAATAAACTAACATTAAAATAAAAATTTATAGTATAAACAATAATATATAAATAAGACCTTAAATCTAATGCAGAATGTTAAGAAAAGTTTTTTTTAAGGATGTCTGATTATCAGGTGTTATTTGAATTTAAAGCGAAGGTGTAACCTGATGATGATCAGTGTAAACTAAGATAGCGTTGGTCTGTATTTAGTGCCAGACTTATGGCAAAAATAATATTATTTCTGATATATTTCTTTTGCCATAAAGCTCTTTCTTGACGATATTTCTAGTTTGTCCAATTTTGAGAAGGTGAAAAAAAAAACATTTTTCATGGTTGTATTTTACTCTGGGTGGTTTATGAGGGTTGCTATTGTTACTCCATATCAGAAAATATTTTTTACGTTTTATGAATTTGGGAATCACTTTGATCTATCAATATTACAATTGTGACATTGCAAAGAAGCTCAACCATACTCTTCCAAGCTCCAATTATTACTCACTAAAGTTAATTTTTTTAATGTTAAACCATGCAAAGCCAAGAGTACAGTAGTTTAATACTCTTGCTAAAACATAGGATTAAATGAATATACCGAGAATTCAATCAATTTGTAAATAATCTTTAAGTATAAATGACTGCAGTAAGAGAAGGAAAGCTCGTAAAAGTATTATTTTCGAAACGCTGTTTTTGTTAAAAAATCTCAATTTGTTTCACGAACTCACGAAATTTAAAAAGTAATTATAATCAATAAGAATTGATTAATAAATCCAATAAATCATACACTGAAGAGATAAATCGAATATCATTTTCAAATATTTTAAAAAGTACGTTACTAAACAAAATACAAATATAATCCATACTACCTTCATTTCATCCTAAACAACACATTCAGAGAACTCAAGGATTGGTTTAATCATGAAAATAAAAAATTTATTATAAATATCAAGGTTGGGGAACCTTCTGAAAGGCAATGATATATATATATATATATATATATATATATATATATATATATATATATATATATATATATATATATATATATATATATATATATATATATATATATATATGTTTTTCATTTTTAGAAATGTACACCAGACCAAATATCAGTTTTTCACTTTCAAAAAGCAGTTTATTTCGGAACACAAATAGTGTAACCGGTAAAACACAATTTTCAAGATATTTTGTAAATCCTTTGTAAATAAACATTTTGTAAATAAATGAAAACGCGTTTAATTGTTTTTTGGTTAACGGCGCTAAAAAATTTATATATTGTAAATAGTAAAGTTTTTATTTAAAGGGTTTTTCGGTTTATGGGTCCACAAACAGGAGAGAGCTGTTTATTTTCCTATACTCTCATATATACTTGGTTTTTTCAAACGTTGCATAAGATTTTTTAAAAATTTTATTGCAAAAGTTCGATCAGAATTTATTGAAAACAATGTTTTCGGTGAGCATTTATTAAAATAATTTTATTTTTACTTTGAACATTTTTTTTTAACTTGAGTCTCGCATTCTTGACACATTCACGTCGAAATGTGTCATGAAATACAGCTACTCGTATCAGTAATACTAATTCCTGATACAAGTAGCAGTATTCCTAAAACAAGAGGTTTGTCCCTAAATTTTTAAATATGTTGCTACATAGTAAATTGTATTTATAAAGAAAAAAGCCCCTCAAGACAAACTTCAACAAATATATTTTTTTGAATATGTTTTGATATATTTAAAATAAGCGAAATAGTGTGCTCTCGCGTGTCTAATACAAGGAGAGTTAGGTTGGTAGGAATTTCCAGGTAGAAAATCCAGGTTTAATAAAAGGGTTGGTACAGAACACGAATAAAACAGTTTAATTTCAGTGTGGCTTGCGGTCAAATGCGCATTTTTTAAATTGCAAATTAAATTTAGCTGTTAAATTATAGTTTTAATCTATGATTTTTAAAGCCTGATTACACTGAAGGTTTATATTCTTATCAGTGTTGTGGTTTCGCGTTTTATATTTCACTAATATATATTTACTCCGATATATTTCCTGATTTTTTTTTTTTTCTTGCATAGTTTTGAGATGTTTTTTTTGTTGTTGTTGTTAATAATAAAACCACATGGGGGTGGGTGGGAAAAGTTGGGTTTCTAAAAATTATAAACTTCCCGTCTATTAAGTATCTAAGAAAAGAGTAGCGGATAGAATTAGCGTATATGCAACATAAACAAATGTGTTAAGTATTTACATTCCAAAAATGTCTCTTTTATTTGAAAGTAAAAACCCTTCTTGTATACAGCATTAAAATATTCAATAAATGACTAAAAACATCTTTATTTTATTTTTCCGTAAATAGTAAAAACGTTAAAATCGAAGTATTCACATTAGCTTTCTCTGATAGCAATTTACGTCTATAATCTCTTTATAGTCGTTTGAATAAGTTACTAAACAGAAACTTTCAGTTTTTATATAACTTCTGCCCCATGGTATTAAGCTAAAACTTCAAACTCGTAGATAATAAAATCACCGAATATTTGTAAACAAAGTAAAACAACAACTCAAAGAAACTAAGGCTTAGTACACGTTTTTCCGAACAAAAATATAAGTTTTTTCAATTACAATATATGTAAGTTTATTCATCAAAAAGTACTTGGTATGTATGGAAAGATTATTTTAACCACTATTATAATCTGGTAAAAGTAATGCGACTATAACAAAACGTCAAGCGTAGTTTTATTTAGAAAAGATGCAATTTTCAACATAAAGTACCTTGGGGTTTGGCTATAGATAAGTCTGTGGATTTGATTTTTTCATAAAAGCACGTATTGGTGTTTGTTTTCAATGAATTTAACTTGACATTTATAATCAGACATTATTTGGGAAAATTATCCACGAAAAACCGTTTTTTTATAAAAATTGAAGTTATTATTTTCAATACCACACTGAAATAAGTAAGTTTAACAATAATGTCACGTTAGGTTCAGATAGACTATGGTAGTATTAATTTTTCTACAAAAGTCGTAGTTACATAAATAATCATAACTTTTAGCCCAATTTCAAAAACTGTTTTCGGTATTTTGTATCATTTTTTGATATACTCGGGACTTATTCGGCCATCTTGAAAAAATAAATTATTCCATTCAGAATGCGTAAACAATTAAACAACAAATTACTTTTAATTTTCAAACTCGTTTCATTTTTATATCAGTACTCGGTGTAGTTAAGGCACTTTTAAAATAATAGAGCGTTAGGGTGGTCCTTATAGGAGGTTGAAAATTTATTTTGGAAAAAATTTGGCGGGCGCCCCTCAAAATGTTTCCATTCGGTGTAAAAACACTTGCTTTTAATTATTGTTGACTTTTATTAACATTTAGGGTATGCTCAATTCAAACAAACTTTCGCATATAGCAGTCACTCAGTCTCAGTGTTCAACGCAGTAAAGTGACATGAATGTTTTTCAAATGTAAGATATTTGTATAACATAATGTTCTGAAAGCAACTCACTTAGTCATCTTCCAAACTAAATTATGTCTTCAGGCTTTCCACAACTGCTACTTTGCTTATTTCTGGTAACTTCTTTCTATGCTCAGCCACTACTTGAAGGATGAATTGCGTCTGCTCTTCAGATTTTGTCCGGAGTCCGCTATACTCCTGAATGAGGGCGACACCTCGCTCTGCAGTGTCGTTAGTAACTCGAAGTTTACCAACAAATGTCTGTGCTTCAGTAAAGGCAGGCAGATCACGCCAGATGGCAGGATCTTCATCGAAGAAGCTGGTTGAAATGTTCAGAGCACTAAAGAACTTCTTTGTATTTGTTGTCACGAAGTCAGGTATCTCCTTTTCTCTTATATCTTGGTCTAATAGAGAGATGCGTTTGGCTGGTTCTTGTACTCCAGGGTTGTCCAACGCCTTGACCATCTTTCTCTTGTCTTCAACAGAAATGGAATCGTCAAAAAAAGAAAAGCCTACGAGTACTTCCGACAAGTACCAAAGGTGTCCTTTTAACTTCTTCAAGGCAGCAAGCGATGTACAGTTTCCAGAAGCCAACAATTCCTTACAGAGCAGAAGGTCGTTCTTTGGAGCTGAGATTCCAAGACGAGAAGAAAACCAGCCTCTTATGTAGAACTTCACTGCAAACACACAGAGATCCTTGAGTCCATTGAGCTCACAGTCAGTAAGATGAAATCCACTGTTTCTGAAGATAAATATCTTCATGCTGTAAATGAGACGTGACATGAATCTGGCTCTGTGCATCGCTCCTGGTTTCATGAATCTGACACCTCTCGGAGGAACGCCTCCCAAGAAAATAATTGTTATTTCAAGGAGCTCTCTGTAATCGTCTCTGGGGTGTTCCGTGTGTAGCTGCTCAGTGGCATAGGAAAGAGTCCTCTGCCTGGTTTCCGAATCAAGTTGAGCCATTACAGCGTCATCCTGGATCCCTGCATGAAAGTCAGCAGTTTGAATGTTTGGCCAGAACTGTTTAAACCTCTTAAATAATTGTATCTCGGGTGATGATGAAGGGCTGATGCATAAGGAAAACACTTCCTCGAGCATAATCTCATGGATGTGGTGGCGGCATGCTAAGTACAGTACATCATGGCCGAGTTTTCCTTCCAGAAGAACACACGCTCCATTACGTCGCCCAGTGTTAGCCGCTGTTGTGTCAAAACTAAAGGCCTTAATATCGTCTTTGATCTTCCAATCATCAATTATCTGGACAATGGCGTCGCATATGGCATGTCCTGTTCCCGATGAAAGCTTAGGAACAGCTAGAAGCTGGTCAACACCATCAGAAGAAACAACAATCGGCAATCTGTCTACTTTTTCATCTCCTGTCAAATCCTTCATCAGCTTTCCATCCCAGTGGATAGTTAGAGGCTTTCCGTGACTTTGAAACTCTACTTTCAGTTCCTTTGATCTCAGTTCTCGATGCTTCAGCCGGTACCTGCGAACGGAAGATCGGTTCACAGCAAATTCTGCCGCGTTCTGGCCTGTTGCAGAAATAACGGATGCCGCAGTGTGAACAGCATGCCTGTCACTGATCCCAGCTCTGTCAAGGGAACCAAGAACTTCCGGTGTAAGGATGTTTTTTCTCCCGCGTTTTCGAAGGCATGGATTTGGACTGGTAAGGCTTGATGTCGAAGGTCCTGAGAAATCTGCATCCTGTGATTCGTCGGAGGAGGTGTCTTCCAGCACAGCCGTGTCAAACATTTTCCTTTTCGCTTCCTCACTAGCATCTTTTCTCTTCTTCATTTGGTTATCTTGTTTTTCTTTCTCCTTTTCCTTATTCTCCAAGTTCTTGTCCAATCCTGCCATAGATCCTCGCCTACCAGGTTCCCGTTGAGCAAGCAAAAATTGCTTATCTTCTTCAATGTTTATCATTTGCAGAGCATCGCCATGAGAAATATCAAACAGATTCGGAAACTCAGCAATAAAAGCTTCTTCATTCCTCTTCTGTGTTTCAGTTTTTCTGTTTTTGTTTTTCTTAAGGTTATCCCAAGTCAGAACCAAATCTTCCAACTTTTTTATTGCTCTTCGTTCATCCCGGACTGGTATTCTTGCACGGCTCCAGTACGTGAAGAGTTGTCGAATTGTTTCTTTGGCAGCTGAATGCTTCGTTTCTTCAACGACCTTCAGATGGTAAAAAAACACACCAAGGACGTCCTGTATTGATGGCAATTTAGCGCCTGTAAACTCTTCTTTCACTGTCCCAAGTAAATATATCTCAGACTGCTTCCTTGTTGATACTGCCATGGCAACTTTATTAATTAATTTCTATAACACAAATAAAAAACACATGTTCACAAGCAACTAGTGTAGACAAAAGCACGTTAAAGTAAGCAACAAAGGAGATCAGGCTAAAACAAACCCTGCCACAGTCGGTACGGTGGTCCTTATTTCATACTTTTGGCATTATGGCGTGGCTGGACAGCTCGGGCACATACACCAAAATTCCGGGTCATTGAGCATACCCTAAATATTATTTAATTGTAAAAATCTTTCAGGGTATTTTGTTTTTGAACAATTGGATCCCTCCTAGGGGGCGCCCGTATTAAAATTCAAAAGTTGTAAAATAAGGACCACCCTAATAGAGCGTCTGTATGATATTTTGTTGACTGCGACATTTTTCCGTTAAATTGTCTGGTCTGTGAATTATGAAAAGACGAAAAAACTTAAAATGATAAACTTTGCGGTATTATAAAGTATAAATGTTTGTAACGAAAAAATCCAGACCGATGATTCTTTTTTTAAAAAA